TGCGGAGCTGTTGCCCTCACCTCGGTGTCGGTTGGTCGTCTTGTCAAACATCAGCATAGCATCATCCACCTGCAAGAGGCACAAAGAAAGACAGGACTCAGTTCAGGTTCTTCCTGATGTTGCAAAAGGCCTGGCCAATTACAACCACAAACTTACACAGAGCTCTTCCCTCGCCTGATCCAAGCTAGGGAGAATGGGACACCCACCTGCTGCCTAAGCATAAACAGGGCACAAACCCCCAAACATTCACCCCTCCCTGGGAGGTCACTGAGCCCCAGGGTCTCAAACCCTGACTCCAATGCAAGAGTGCAAGAGAACCATATTTTTTTCCTGCACGTCAGGCAGGTGCTGCCAGCCTGAGTCAGTGAACCCTTTCCCACCCAAATACTGGGCTGGGAGGACAGGCTCCTACCCAGCTCTGCTCCTGGGGACACCACATGCTTTCCTCCCTGTTGAGCTGGTAAGCACCCCAGACTGTTTGCCTGTGGCTCCGATGAGGGGCAAAGAGCACCAAAGGCATTGTTCTGAAACCACGGTGGAGAATTAAAGGCGGAGGGGGAGGAGGGAGCCAAAGCCTGAGAGGAGAAAAGGAATAAGGGGCCTCACAGCAACAGGGGAAATGGAGGCCTCAGACAGCAAAGATTCTGCTTGGGGAAGCTTAGAAGCTGCCCCCACCCCCACCCCAGAGGAGCCTTTCCTCTAAGTGAGGTTTCCCAGTGCTGGAGGCTGTAATTAGAGCAAATTTACTGCAAGGACTGTGCTAGCACTGCCTACTGCATGGGGGAGGGGAGGCAGGCACCACCCATCCCCCTCCCTGGGGCCTGGTGCCACTCTCCCTCTTCCCTCCCCAGGCAGACACATCAGCGCCTGGTGCCACTTTCCTTCGCCTGCTGGTTCTCTCCTGGGCATTTCCTTGCAGGGGAGCAACTGCAAGGCAGGCAAGCAGGTTAAAACACACCAGTTCCCTCTGTATAAACCCGTGTCCCACCAACCTATCCTCCTTGGTAATACCACTGCCTTAATCTGATTATGAAACTGGATGTCTCAAGTGTTCAGGGGAGGGACAAGATGGTCTTCAGCCACAGTTGACCAGGGCCTTCCTCCTCCTCGCCACAAGACAGCCAGTAGCCAAGCAGGCCGCACTGTTTGAGATCAGCTCCATCCCCCAGCTCAGCCTGTGATATACCCCATTATCTTGCCAGCCCTTTTTATTACTCATAAATTACCTTCTCCCTGCAGTCCCTGACCCAAGGAGTGCAAGGGGCTGCACCCATCTCTACAGTCCAGTGCAGGCAGGCAACCAAACCACAGGGTTTATTCACAAAGCACTTCTGATTGGAGCAAGATAGGACAGGATGGGGGACAGGCCTTGCTGAGATCCACCCCCAGGGGAGCGGAACAAGGGTTCTGTCAATTTTGACTCCCAAAAGAAAGACAGGCATCTTCTTCCAGGCAAGTGAAATGGGAGGACGGGAGGACCTCTTCCATCCCCTACCCCCAGCCCAGCCCAAGGCTGTCTGAGCAAAAGGTCAGCTTTAGGACTCTTCAGGACCAGGGGCTTCACCTACTCTCTCCTGACCTACATAGGCACTGGCTACTGCCCAATCCCCACCACAGCATGGGAAGCGAGACTCTTGAATGTTCCACCTAGACCTAATATTCCTCAGCCAAGAAAAAAAAAGCTGAGACCTGAGAAATTCACTAGTAATCCAAGCTGAGTTGAAGGTGATCATCCACTTCAGGCAACAATCTGAATCTGATGAACAAGCAATATGACATCCAGTGCTCAGTGCTGCCTGATTCCCTCTTATGCACGCTAAGGTGGGGAGGGGTGTGAGGGACCACTGCACAACGGATGGGAAGATGGCCCTGCTGCTCACTATTCTACCTTTTAAGACCGTTTCTATCACAATCATTACTTGCAGAACTTAGAAAGGGAGGATCCCCTTCCTGAGCAGGAGATCCCAGATGTTACAAACCATGTACGAGCAGAATGCAGCAGCCTCCAACCCTCCATACATTCTTTGTGCCATCCCAAAATCAGCAGCTGCACTTTTAAGTGCTTGAAACCCAGCCATAGCAACTAGCACTCCAAAGTGAGTTCTACATGCTAGGGGAACCAACCATGTCCTTTATGATCAAGCAGATCCTTCCTTTCAAATCTCAACTAGTACTTAAAAATAAGAGGCCTCCTCACTCCTCAGCACACACAGACTTGCAAAAATTTATGCAAGCATGCACATGATTGAAAACCTCCCTCTTGCATGAAACTCAAATCAGTACCTCTAAACTCAGCCACCTCTTGACCCCTTCAAAGTCACCAGCCTTCCTCCCTGGAAATGTACTGTCAAACAAAGTCCCCCTTGGAGCCAGGATCATTTTTATCCACCAGTACAAATGGATTTCTATAGTGTCAATAAAGAGACACAGGGACAAACAATATACAGTAGTTCCAAAGATAGCAAAGAGGATCCTTCCTAGGGTTTTTCACCTCTAGAGACTGTAATTCACATCTTTCCAGCAAAACAGGCTCAGTGAGTTTGGTGATCTTAGACTATAGTTTGGAAAGAGGCACACACACTTCAGCACAGTATACAGCTTTATTTTAGATAGGTCTATACTAGAACACCAGCAGGTCAGGATTCAAGATTTGCACAGCCAGGACTACTGGTCATCAGGATCAAGGTGCATTGGAGATCTGAGAGAACAACCCAGACTGTGATAGCAGTCTGGCCAATTTCAGGTCCCCATCCAATAGATCAGACTTCCTGCAGTTCCCCTTCTATGTCACACTGCAGTATCCAGCTGCAACAGCTCCAATGTTCCTGCCCAGTATGTCATGCTCTACTACTGAAAATGTGCTGTTACATGGTAGCTTTTGACTAGTGATCTCAATCTTGGACGAAGTTCCCTAAAATGCTCCATATCCTAAAACACATCTTAAAATGCAAGTGGAGCTTGCTGCAGGATGCACCTTACTCCAGTATCTCAGGGCAGTCACACAGCAAGAAAGGGAATCTACTGCCTGAACAACACCCTGATAATAAGGCTACTCAGTGAGGCTCCCTCTGGAGAGTAAGGTAGACTGTGGAAGGGATAGTCAAGAACAAAGCAACTTCCAGCTTAAGAGCAGAAAGATCAAAGACTCCAGCACACACACACACAAAAAAGCAAAAGCTAAACCACCCAGGCAACACAGCAGCAAGTGCAGGCACACAGGAGGCCTCGCCCTGTATGGAACTGCTGCTGCTGCTGGCACTGGCTGTACAGTGGAGCTTGGACAGAGGGATCCTGCTCTGTCCGGAGCAGGGCTTTATAGTACTGCAGTTCCCAAGTGCCAGATTGACAGCTCTTGATGAACGTTACCCATCAGAGGCCCCTGCCTCTGCACCAAGGGGTCAAGATCATGAGTGCCATGTTAGAGATGGGGCAACTGAGGCAGAGGAGGAGGGGCAGGGACATGCATGAGACCAAGGCAAGGGCTGTGAGGTCTGGCTGGAGATCACCGAACATGGGGCTCCTTGGCCAGGCTCCCCCCAAACCTGTTCCCAGAGGCTCAGGCCTCTCTCCTTGCACTGGGCGCACATTCAACTCGCAAAGGGCCACTGCGTGTCCTTAATAGGCTTCTGTGTCCATGGAAACCCTGGGCAGGGGAGGCGGGATTAGCGGGCCGCTGGCCCCAGCAGCCAAGTTCATGAGGCCTAGCGCTAAGCGTGAGTGGCAGCCCTTGGCAGGCGGCTATTGTTGCGGCTGGCTGCTGGGTGCCTCTCTGGCAGGGCCCCCGCTGGGATCCCCGCCGCTCCCCGGCCCATTCTCTGGAGCCTTTCTTCCGCGGGGCCGCGCTCGCTCTGCCAACGCCAAGTTAGGCCCGAACAAAGGAGGCTGCCGGGGACGGCTTCTCTTGGGGCCTGGTCGCCATGGCAACCCGGCCCCTCCAATCCCAGCTGCTGGATCAGATTAGTGCGAGCTCTAATGCTCTTCTCCAAAGCGCTCGGCGCAGACACAAAGACACCCTGCTGGGGCGAGTCTCACTGCTGCCTCCCAGGAGCCCAGGCCGGGGCAAGCAGAGTGAGGAGGCCGCCTCCAGCCCTCCCTCCCCAGACCGCACAAAACTGTCTTTCAGGCCACCTTGTTCCACTCTGGGCTGCCTGAACGCACAGCCTCAGTGCCACAGCCTGCTCGCTGCATGTGCCCAGAGCAGCGGCCCTCTTCTTTCAGCCAGCAAAACAACAGCTCCACTCGCCCCAAGCACTCGCCACCTTGAAGGGGGAGGATGCACAGAGCTGTCCCGACCCCCGCCCTCACCCACCCTACCTATATCCACACAGAAGAATGCCCGCCAGGAAGAGAAGGTTCAAAGAGTTGCCCCACCTCTTGGCCTCGATGGGAAAGGGAAGGGAAACACAAACCCACTTCTGATCTCTCCCAGTTTCACATAGATGTCGGTAGGGGAGAGATAACAGGAGCGCAAACCAGCACAGACCCCCCACCCCCACCCCCATCTAATGGGGTCCTGCCCTTCTCTCTTCAAACCCCCGAAGGGGTGTGCAGTGAACAGGAGCACCAAGCACCCCAGATACCCACACGCCGCATCAGCGCAAATACATCAGACATGCCGAGCCTAGACAAGGAATTTTGCTGACTTCTCTGTAACACAAAATCCAGCTTGATTTCAAACAGCACACCAACAAAAATGCACTGCAGTGCACAACTGGAATTGGGCTGGGATTGCTCCCCTTCCAACACCACTACACTGAGTTAAATATTAGAATTAAGAAGAGAAGCTCAGGACATCATTGCCCAAGGCTTCAACATCAAACCTGTCCCAGCCCCCAACCCCATCACCAGGCCAGAGACCACTCCTCCACCTCCCTGTTGCCATCTCAACTGTCCCTTGTACTACACATCAGGATTTGCTTTATCATTCCACAACCCTGTGCAGCAACCACAGAGCAGGGAGATCCCAGCACATCTTGGGAGAGGCCCTCACTGCATACTGAGAGGGCTTGTGAAAGAGGATTGCTGTCTCAGAGAGATCGATGGAAGAAAGAAAGATCATGAAACTGCAT